TTATTATATATATATATATTTCATGTTATATCTAATATATTTTGAAAGAAAACAGAAAAAATTTTAATAAGTTTTATTTACAAATTTAATTACATCAAGTTCTTTTTACGATTATTTGTTGTCAAGTGTAAATATCCACTTACAATTAATTAAAGAAAGACGTTGCTCTTTAATTTAGATAATTAACAGAGCTAATTAACTTACCTTAATTCATTATCTTCCTTATCTGCCGTTCAGAAATGATAAATGACCGAACGCAATTATTATTGACGCAATCAATGTTCGTGTACATTTCTCAATATACAATTCTAAGGCATGTAAATGCATCTCATTTACGTTTCGTGACAGTTAGAGTAATTGCAATTACACAGTCGAAAGCGGCTCCTCTCTGCCTAGGTCCCTTGCTTAATTGTAGTTCTACGTGCTTGAAGCGAGAGGCAAACGGCAGTAGTCGGTATTTTTTCGAACGCAGTTCAAGAGGGTGACTCGAATTTCGAGAGCTTTAAAGTCAACTCTTGAGTAATTCCCTTGCGACGACTAATTCATTTACATTTGCATTAAATTCCGTGCTTCTCAGTCGGTTCCTAGTGAAGTGAAGGTTATTTTACATAGGTGTTTTATGTATATTTTATTTTATTTTATTATATATATATATATTTCATGTTATATCTAATATATTTTGAAAGAAAACAGAAAAAATTTTAATAAGTTTTATTTACAAATTTAATTACATCAAGTTCTTTTTACGATTATTTGTTGTCAAGTGTAAATATCCACTTACAATTAATTAAAGAAAGACGTTGCTCTTTAATTTAGATAATTAACAGAGCTAATTAACTTACCTTAATTCATTATCTTCCTTATCTGCCGTTCAGAAATGATAAATGACCGAACGCAATTATTATTGACGCAATCAATGTTCGTGTACAATCCTCAATATACAATTCTAAGGCATGTAAATGCATCTCATTTACGTTTCGTGACAGTTAGAGTAATTGCAAGTTAGCGTATGAGTCTCCACGACAGTAGCAATTAGGGTCCAGGAGAGAGAGAGAGAGACGACGCTTTAATAATGTTGGGTACTGATTTATCGAACTATTTCCGGTCGGGTGTCTCTATCAGTCGCTTCTTTATCAGCCGCGTGCGAGCAAGCGCGCGGCTTCGTTAGGGGTTCAGCCGACCGGAAGAGTCGTTAACTACGGGCAGCGAAGTGCACGCGAGCAATTTGCATGGCCGTCAATTTCACGCGTGCTGCACTATATGTGCAGCCCGATATAAGCAACCTGTCGCCCGAGTCGCGCGCGCGTGCGGTTCCATTCACACTCTAATAAATTTCCAGCAATAATTATCGGACGTTAATTATTGCCTCCTCCTCCTTCTTTCTTTTATATCGCTGCGCGTTACGTTGTGCAGGTAAATCGAGAAGCTCAATCGAATTACGCGTTGCGTGCGAATCGTATTATATACATTTTTGGAATTCCACATTGATTGCATTCATTTATTACAATATTTTCCGCTCAACTATTTATAACGCTTCGAATTTATTCGTGAATTTATCCGTTGAAACGTGTCTCGCAATTTCACGCATTGATATTATTTTTGGACAAATTCCTTTATGATATTACAGTTGATCATACAATTAATTAGACGCATTTATCTGATCGAAAAATTCCAATAGAAATATACTGCGAAATAACTAATCTCATATTTAAATATCGCATTGATACTATTTTTGTATACAAGCTCATTTATAATATTACAGTTAATTATATAATTAATGAGTTTTTTTGTATAAGCTCATATATGATATTACAATTAATTATACAATTAATCGGATGCATATATCTGATCAAAAAATGCCAATACAAAAATATAATGCGAGATAACTAATCATATTTAAATATTGAATATCAATATAGGTTATCTGTAATTGGTACCTTAATAATCTGGGACATTATTAATCATCGAAATAATTCTCCAATTTATTTAAACGTTTATTAAGTTTTGTTTTCACGAGCTCCACGTCTGTATAAATTAAGTAATACTTTCTTAGCGATTTTTTATTACAAAGAAAGTTTATAACAAAAAGTTAAATAGTAAGATAATTAATGAACTAGACAAACGTGCAATTTTGAGATATAATTTTGATTGACGTTTCCTTTGACAAGCAATGAAACGCTTTTAAAGGAGTTAATTTGCGAGGAGAAGACTCTGTACGAGACTCCGTAGTCACCGAGCGAAGAGTCGAAGGCTAGACAGAATCCTCGTTCACCTCGTGGTGCCTTCGTCGGCGAACCAAGCCACCCTGTATCGACCCAGCGACGCCCACCCGAAGAACAACCCCCACCATGGATGACCTCCACCGGCACCATTTGGTCCAAAAATTTCAGAGCGCGTTGCGTCGCCAAATTGCTGCTACTTTTTTATCCGCGCCACGTGATCGACGATACCGGATGTGTCGGCGGCTTAGGTTATAGAAATATTTTCAGAACTCCAAATTTTAGGTGGTTGCACGGTGTGCATGAAAACGTTTATAGATCATATCCGAAATAAAAAATACAAGCTTTTTTTTTTATTAAACACATTAATAGCTATCTGCTATCCAAGCGTTTTTTCAAAATTTTAAAAAATAAAAAATGGCGGTGTGTTGAAAAAAAATTCTTTTTTTTGGAAAATAGTTCATCATTTTTTGTTTATAACAGAAAAATGGAAAATTGGATTAAAAAAGGATTTTGTTAGACTTGGTTAAGCTTCGTGCATAAAAACATAAATCTGCAAATATTTGCATAACCTCAAAAAAAAATTTTTTTTAAGCTGAAAATTTTTGTTCAAGTACTTAATAATATTGTAAGAAAAAGTTTTTATCAAATTGTTGCGCTGCAAAAAAAATGTAGAAAATGTACTCATTTTTCGAAAGTTCAAACGGATATGCCCCCTTAACTCCGCCATTACCCGCGAAAAATTCTACTCCTCTTTCCTTCTTTTTGCTCGCTCTAGGAACGGGTTTTCCCACGTGCTCGTGAATGGAACGGAAATCGTCCACCGACGATTCTCCTCGCTGTTTATCGGTGCTGTGTATATTATAAGAACGCGGGAGCGTTTCATCCTCGCTTTTCATACGCGAGAGAAGAAGAAAGAGAAAGAGTTTATCGATCCGCGCGGTAAATATCAAAATTTCACAGGCTGACGCATGACGCGAAAATCGATGGAAACAACGATCGGACGCGGCCTGTTTGCACAAGTTCTTTCACGAAGCTGGATGCACACCGACCGCGCTCGTCATCTGGTTCGACAGCAAACCGCTGCTGTCACATTCGACACGTGACGAGTGTTTGTGAAGCATCTCGTGGATATTTTTTCAAGCCGTTGGAAAACAATAAATTATTCGAAGGCAGAGAGGAAAATATGTATAGTTGATTCGCAAATGTGAAATTGATAAAATTTGTGTATCTCATTTTAACAAGAAGATTGTTGCAGATAGCAAAATAAAAAAGGAAAGAGAATGAGTAACAGCCCTTATATCCCCCGTACAGAGTATCAATATTTTCCAATTTTTAAATAATTATTTTGAAACTTTTATCTCGTACAAAAGTTTCGTTCGTATAAAGATATTTATGGGAAAGGAAATTATAAAAATATAGATGAGATATTTCTCTGAATTTATTTCTCCGTTCACGCGCGTCTCGCAAAATTAGCCGAGACGCCGGAGGAGGAGTTCGCGTTGCAAAATGTTCTTTGTTGGGATTTACGTATGCAAATGAGCGAAATAATATTACCATCGAACTGCACGAACGCGGACGGACCATTGTGGCCGTAATTTAATTATCGATTCCCCGGGAGAGAGTGAGAGAGAGAGAGAGAGAGAGAGAATATCTTTCTGAAATACAGAGTCTATTTTGGAAACGCGATGCAACCAAGAGGTAGCGGTTTATTTTGGAGAGTTCGATGGAATATTATTATCGTAGCCGGCAGCGGTCCTCTCGCTAAATTCGAAAACCGAATCCAACGATACGTATACGCTCGCTCGCATAGCGATACGCTTCTCTCGTTCCTTTTATACGGTGCGAAAATGTATAGATTTCGTTGAAATTCAATTCCCATCTCGAACGTATCGAACGCTATACATAAATTGCTTAGGTCTAATCGAAAGGTACCTAACTTATCGGCAGCGAGGGTATATCGCGTATAAAAGATTAATGATGATAACGCATGAGACGTAATTTTCATTATCACTCTCGGGGCAGCGCGTAACATTCACACGGAAATAAATCACGACGATTTCACACGGGGCGCAAAATATCTCTCGACGTCGCGTTCATTAATTCATTTGCTATCTTAAATTTCCAGGCGGAGGAACCTCGGCTCGCGTCTCTCAACTTCCGTCTCCGGTGATTTTGAAATCAACGCGATTTCTTCCATCTCGATTTCAGCTCCCGTGGATTTTTATGAGGAAAAATTCCTTGTACGATCTCAGGCACTCGACACGTTTTGATACTTTTTTCTCGTCCTTTTTTTTTCCCCTCTCGCACTCCGAGCGCCCTTGCCTTTAATTTTCAACGACGATCGCTCGCGACTCAATGCACAAGTCTTGTCGTCGCGGATTCTGATAAATTCCTCGGCTCACACAATGCACACGGACGCATTGCGGTGGCTCTCAAAGCGGCATTTCTTTCCCGTCTGCGGTTTCTCCTCTCTCTCTCTCTCTCTCTTTTTCTTGCCTGCGTCTTTCCCTCTCTACTCTCATTCCCGCAAACTCGATCGACAATGCTAAAAACTTTTCCCGCTTGTACTTTAGAGTACGAAGGAGTCCCACGGGATCCCTGAACGGCGGCTTACACAGAATTTCTTGCCTTTATGTACTCCCGTTGTTGTTTCATGAAAACTCGTCTAGTCCGCCGATTTTGGTGCTCATGATCCCGCGGAATCGGCGGGCGAGTTAAACGTATATCGCTTGACAGAGAGGGTGAGCGAGGGAGAAATGTTTGGATATCAGCTATTTAATCAGGTCGCTCGATTTGATCGTCGGAGTCAGATGTTTAAATTTAGCATCAGCAGCAACCATGTAGACATACCCGGCTTTAGCTGTACACAGGAATGTTTCGCGGATGTGGCTGTTTCGGTAGCCTGCAACTATTCCGGAGTTTGCCGGTACACAGGATACACATAGTTGGGATACTTCCTCGTAGATCGGCTCGTAAGAATTAAGCAATTCGCAGAGAGCGTCGCGGGAAAACTGCGATAACGTACGCAATTTGAGAAACTTTGTCTTTTCGCCAATAATTATATTATCGACCGAAAAGAAAGAAACGACGGCTAAATTTCCGCAAGAGTTTACTACATTTCACTATCAAGCCTCTGTACACATATAAGCGAAATTGTTCAAAGTTATTGTGTACAATCAACATTCTCGTATATTGTTGAGATACCCGGCTTATTTTACAGAGAGTGTTTACTCGTACAATTCATTTAAGGTTTCGCGGTATATCGGTAGCCTCGCGTTAGATTCGAGTCCATTTTCTTGCATCCCGATTAACGGAATATCACGGATCGCCAGGCATCGATGGCAAAAAAATCCGTGTTAAACGCTCACACGGGCCAGATGTCCGGGGGTGGCAACCGTGGTGGTCGGCGGGGTTGTCGTAGTCGTCGTCGGTCGCGGTATCGGGGAACGTTTCATGGGCAGACTCCTACCACCCTGCTTGCTCTTGACCCAGGGCCATTGCAGAGTACGTATCAGAGTGTTGCGAAAGTCCTCGGAGAAGAGGCAATAAATGTAAAACGTGATCGAGTAATTGATCACCTCTAGCAGATTGGCCAGCGCCCGGAACACCTGCAACCAAACGCGTCGAATTAATGGACGGATTCATAATTGATGAAGTCGAGAATTAGGATCGGGGGCATGCGGGGGAATAATTGAACCATTTTATCTGGATAAGGAGAAAGCGAATCTTGATTAAGTATTCTTTCAAGATGATGAAATGATAAAAATTTAGGAAACGGAGCTGTTGCTTTAAATTAATTTGTAACTCAATATTCAGTTATATTATTGATCGTTATTAAATTATAAACAAATTATAAAAATATATTTTAACAGTGCATTTTTGAGAAAATGAGAAATAATGCGTAGCAAAAACGTGTACGGATCTGGTTACCTGGTACCAATAATGATTGAGATTACTGTCGCTGAGAGTGACGTTTAGGATAACCATAGGACTAACGCAGACCAGAAATAGGATGCTGGTGCTGCCTAAGAGCAGAATGAGCCTTCGCTCCTCGGCAAAAGTCCTCGGATCTTCGTCGTTACTAATGGTTCTCGATAAGGTCATCCTTCGACGTCGTTCGCAGGATCTTCTGTACACTATCATTATTTTCAGATTGAATCCGGCGAGAAGGATCGTCGGTGCCACTTTAAAAACGACTTCCAGCATTATCTTGTAAATCTGAAGTACACATTTGCATCGCAGATTAAGAGCCATCGAATTATGATACGCAGTTAAATACGGTGCACAGTTATTTTAGGATCATAAACAGAATGTGATTAAATATGCAAAGCGTTCCAGAAATTCTGACCTTAACTTAAATGTCAGATAACTTTTTTTAAATATCAGATACTTGTATCAATTTGCAGCAAATATTTGGAACACTTGGCATAATTATCATTAACGTCAATAATCATAAATTTATCATTTTTATAAATTATAATTTTTATAAATTTTTATAATTTTTATATTAATCATTTTAATAATCATTAATTTATCATATTTACGCGGGTTAAATTATAACAGCGTTACACATTCTGGTATTTTATCGGCTTTGAAATATTTCTTCGAGATCCCTTTTTATTAGCGGGAAAAGACACAGCGTTTACAAGGAAAGAGATATAAATTACCTGAAAGTACCAGGAATGAAGAAACGTCCGATTCTCTCCCTTCTGGTAGATTAGGGGGCCGCCTGGCGCCAGCAGGCAGGTCGTAACTTCACCCCGAAATACACATGGCAGATAAACGAGAAATGTAGCCAGGGGGATGAGCGCCACTGTTAGGTGAGGTGGTCCGCAGAGTGGTCGCGTGTGTTGTCCGGGGTGACAGACGCTTACATAACGCTCCACTGTCAATGCCAGAAGCATCATTACTCCAACCCCTATGCATACAATTAACCTCTATATCTCTCAAATATAGCGCCATGGCGGCCTTAAAAGCTCTTCTCGTCAGATACTTGTGTACGTTTCCGCACGCACATAAAAATTTTACAACACTTTTTCAATTCTTTTTTGCAAAGTATCGTTTAATTTTTTGTCCATCTCTCTTTCTCTATTCCGACGCGCCTCTTTGGACTACATCTAGGCAAACTTCTAATCGTTATCACATCGCTAACTTATAAGAGCTCCAAGATAGGAGAGAGCAAAAGTTTCCCGTCGCGGACAAAGTTCCAGCGAGCATCTTCTATTTCTTTCACGCGCAGCGTTGGGCGAGAGCAGATAACGGGATAAATTCATTTCCTCCGTAAGAATCGTATCAGTCGTTTCCGCGAAAATGGTGTTAATGGGAGAGAGAAAGCGCGAAGAAAGAGCGAGAGAGATAGAGTGAGTCTGTTGGACTCTCTGCGGAATTCTCGGTAAAGTTCCGTCCGTACCAAGGCAGCCGTTTCCTAGGAAGAGCTCGAGGTGAACATGATAGAAGGCCTGCGGCCAGTTACTCCATCCCCCGATCTCCTTGTGGATGAGAACCCTGAGCGCGAAGGGGATGCAGAATAGGATCGCGAGAAGCGCCGCCGCGGAGTAACCTGCAACAAAAAGAGGAGCGGAGTCCGGGGGTTAAGAAGAATCGTCGGACGGGGAAAAATAAGAGCCGGGTCCCCGAGATCGAGTTAACTTGATTTCATAAACCCGGAACAGCGGGTGAACATGGCACATGATTTACTTAATCATTCTCGCAACTTTCCTGAATATTCCCGGGAACATCGCCGGGAAATTTTTCATTCTGAATTTTCCATGCTTCGCGTGAGACGCGAGAATAAGATTAAATCACTCTTCAGGATTTATTTCGAGTCATTATGCATTTTTTTTTTTTTTTTTTTTTTTCGTTTAATATATACCCTTGTAAACAAAACAAAGTTCTTTAATCGCGTGCCGCGATACTTCAATTATACTCATAACACACTCCGTTTCTCTCATCCAACATTATTCTCGTAAAGCCACGAATATTTCGCTTACTCGTCAGCATAAAGGCCATCACACACAAAATTCCGGAAGAACGTAAAACGTAAGCGTAAGAAAATCGACCAATCCCAATCGAGTATTTGGCTCTCCGTAACCCCTCCACTTTTATGGAAAGCCCAATACTCGATTGGGATTGGTCAATTTTCTTACGCTTACGTTTTATGTCCTTACGGAATTTTGTGTGTGATGACCTTTACTTGCGCGAATACACACGCAATATACTGTAAAAAAAAAAAAGCTGACTGAAACTTCAAACAAAATATCGGCAACTTTTTTGCAGACACACTCTTGTGAACTTTTAGAGAAACGACTCCGATGATTAAGACAGATGGTCTGAAATTTTTTTCAGACACCCAGATCTGAAAATTAAAACAAAAAAAAAATGTTTCTGAATTTTTAGAAAATTTTTTACAGTGTATCTCTTTTTTATTTTATATCTACCCTCGCTCGCGATTCAAGATAATCGCAATTGGATACGCGCTTTTTGTCAATTTCCATCCGATTTACTGTTATCGTACGGTCGACCGCGCTGCTTATTGCTCCTTGTCTCGTGTTACCCGCTTTTACTGCCCATTGACACCAATTAACGCCCGTATTTACCGTACTGTTTCGCGAAATTCCCTGAGAGCAATTAGACGTTGTTGACGCAGCTCTCCTGCATCGTATAATTGCCATAGAAAATTGCACATTCTGGATGCGAATGCAATAAAAGACCTGTGGAAACTTCTTAGGATATTAACGGAAAATTTATTGCTCTCTTTTTTATTTCTTATTTTATTTTAATACAGTAAAATTTTTAACGAATTATTTAACAATATTGTATTATTTGATAATGCAAAACATGAATAAAAAAAATATGTAAACGTTGCTTATGTTTGGGATATGGATCAGATTGTTTCTGGATTATCTTCGATTAGTGTATCTGATGGATAAACCCTAGCAAAGGTGGTTTTATCAACCCTCGCTCCGTCGTATCGACCCTCGAGCCGCTTCCAGCTGCCGATAAACTCGAGAAGCTCGCCGGTAACGCGTTTCTTTGGTCGATGATAACTTAGTGATGGACGAAAAGGGGTGGTTTCAGTTCCTCGACAGTCGATACTATTACCATCCGATCTGGATTCGCTTTCTTCAGCTTTCTCGTAGAGCTTTTTTAAGCGCTTCTCTCGTAGAATGATACTCATTTTAATTATGAAATGGAGAAAAGAGAGAGAGAGAAAATTCTATATTATGAATCTTTCCC